CTCGCGCACCGTCTGCTTGAACTTGATCGTGTCCTGGCGCGCCTTCTCGCCCTTGGCCTTGGTGTCGTCGAGCTGTTTCTTTCTGTTCGAGAGTTCCGTCTGCGCGACGCTCAGATCTGCGTCCGCGTCGTCAACGGCCTTCTTCGCCGCGTTTTCCGCCTTGAGCTTTTCGTTGTAATCCGCCTGCGCTGTAAGCGCAAGCGCGTCCGCGTCGTTCGCGGCCTTTCTTGCAGCTTGCGCGCGAGTCGCCAGGTAAGACTGCGCATTGGCGGCCGAGAAGGTAGAAACGGCCAATGCCGACAGGAGCACGATGGCCCAGAACGAAATGTTGAACTGACTCATGGCTGCGTGTGTAACTGAAGAGACTGATGAGCTAGAGGTGCGGAAATTGCGTATCGCGTCAAAGAAATGAGTCGATTTGCAGAGGCTCAGGGTAGTGATCCTCAGGGGACTGACGAGCTGAAGTGAGATGGGAAGAGTGGGAGGCTTGGGTTGTGGGATACTGAATATTGTTATGATTTTTTTTCTTATCACTCCATTTTTATGGCACTTGCTTGTAGGTACGGTTGACTCGGATGGTTGGTTGCCTAATGCGAGCAGACGAGAGTGGCAACGAGACGCACCTTGCACCCACATGCCGCATATGGGTTTTTGCCAGGGAGGTCAGGGGTGCACGACAGTGCGAATAAAAGTCGGTGCAAATCGTTCCATGCGAATGTTACATGTGCACTAGAAGTCTGGTTGAACAAATGCGAGCGAGCGAAAATACTAGGCTCTCGCTGATTGCTAGATGTTACACATGCTTTCGAGAAAGAAAGACGCCGTCGCGTTTGGGCCTGACTTTGCTAGGGGAGCGCTTGCTCACTTGCATTGCTGGAACCTATGGATGGAGCAATCAGCCATGCTTGCCTGAAGAAAGACGAAGGTCGCGACCCGGGATGACCAATCAACGCTGTACGAAGAGAGAAGGAAGGTGTTTGCCCGTGGCGTTAGAAATGGCATGTGGAAAATGCGAGTCGCATCCCTCTCCCATACACGTTTGTAACGTTTTGCAAGTGAATTGTTGACGAGTACATGCATGTTGTACAACTAAAGTATTTCCCTTCACCCTTTTCAGCGAGCGGATCTTCGGCCCACTAAGTCTTCTGAATAGCGATTTCATTGAATAAATATCACAAGATGCCTTTATTTCTCAGGCAGCATGTCTCATCAAAGACAGCGCGCTCCCAAGGCGGAGAGCCTAGCCAGGCTCCGGCAGGCATTTCTTTGGTCTCATAGGAAAAAGCGAAACATCAAAAGGCAATGTCGGGAAAACGACCAATGGGCATTTGGGAGTGTCGGGGAGCGTCGGGAGTATCGGGAGGATGGGAGGTCGGATGGGCGCGGATTCGGCGGTTTTTAAAGCAGAGCAGGCGAGCTAATAGTCGTTTTAGTTTCCGTTCCCGTCTCCGATACCGTTCCCGTTTCCACTACCGTTGCCGTTTCCGTTTTTGGCCTCGTAGTCGGCGTTTTCTTTCTCCGCCTTGTCCGCAGCCGCCTTAAATCCATCAGCGCGCGACTTGAGCGCGGTGAACTTGGTTTCGGATTGAGCCCGAGCGGCATATGCCTTGGCCAGCGGAATTCGCGCGTCTTTCGCGGCCTTCATTTTCGCCACGACCACGAGGCTCTGCTGCTTGATCGCCGTATCGATGTTCTTAGCTTCGACGATTGTCGCGTTATACAGCGCCTCGGCGTCGTTTGCGTCCTTCTTAGCCTTGTTCAGCACAACCTTATGGTCATCAGCTTGTTTCCTCGTGTCGGCCTTGTCCTTGTTTGTCGCAGCCCACTCAAACTTCATTCTCGAGACGCGTTCAACGGACCGCTGCGCCTGCTGCACAAGCGCGCCCTGAATCCGAACCGCCTGAGCGCGGATCGACTGCGCCTCGAGCGCATCCGCCTGCGCCTGCGGCGTCTTAAGCTTCGTCGCGAGCCGCGCGTAGTAGGTCGCATCGTCAGTCGCCTCCTTAACGATCGCGTTCTGCTCCGTCAGCAGATCCGCCGTGAGATTCGCGCGCGCCTGCGCGTCGACGATATCCTTCGCGAATTCCTTCTCGTCGTTATCCGCCTCGCCGGCATTCATTTCAAGCTCGTCGTCATAATCCTGCTCATCGCGCACCGTCTGCTTGAACTTGATCGTGTCCTATCGCGCCTTCTCGCCCTTTGCTTTGGTATCGTCGAGCTGCTGCTTCTTGTTCGAGAGTTCCGTCTGCGCTGCGTTCAGATCAGCGTCAGCGTCGTCAACGGCCTTCTTCGCCGCGTTTTCCGCCTTGAGCTTGTCGTTGTAGTCCGCCTGCGCCGCTTGCGCTAGCGCGTCCGCGTCGTTTGCGGCCTTCCTGGCGGCTTGAGCGCGAATCGCCAAGTAAGACTGCGCGTCGGCAGCCAGGAAGGTCGACACGGCCAGCGCCGACAGGAGCACGATGGCCCAGAACGAAACGTTGAACTGACTCATATCTGCGACTGAAATTGCGAAGCCTAATGAGCTGAGATGAGAGTGTTATGATAAGGTATCGCGTCAGTGCCACTGAAATAACCTCAGGGGACTGACTGTTGAAGTGAGATGGGAATAGTGGGAGGCTTGGGCTGTCGAGAGCTGGAGATTGTTGTGATATTTGTCCTTATCACTCTGCCATTTATATGGGCTTGCTTGTAAGTACGGTCGACTTGCTTGGTTATCTTCCTCACGCGAGCTGATAAGCAACGAGAGCGGCAGCGCGCCTTGCTCCCACATGCTGCATATGGGAATCTGTTGGAGAGGAGAGTGTGCGAGACTGTGCGAAAAAGGTAGGTGGCCATCGTTCCGTGCAAAAATGTTACCTGTTTGCTTGAATTCTGCTGGTGTAGATGCGTGCGAAGTGAGTGCGAATATATTGGACTGTCGCTGAATTGTAAGTTACAAATGCTTCCGAGAATAAAGCTTGCCACCGCCATCTTTTGGCCCGACTTCGCCAGGGGAAGCGCTCGCTCACTTGCGTGGCTGGAACCTATGGATGCAGCAATCAGCAATGCTTGCCTGAAGAAAGTCGAAGGTCGCGACCCGGGCCGACCATGACGTGTGAAGCGAGAAGTACGGTGTGCTTGGCCATGGCGTTGGAGATGGCGGCCCTGCTCGACAGGCAGGCTCCTCCTTCCACCATCTTCATCGTGGGCAGTGTATAAATTTTGGGGGAGAGATGGCATTCGCACCAGGGTAAACCAAAGGGCGTCGTGCGTGGGGGGTGGCTGGTTTGTTTGTGGGAGGCTGAGACAATCTCAGGGCAGAGATGGGAGAGGCTAGGGCACGGGCTCTGGAGGGAAAAGTTTCGTAGGGTATGGGGTGGGTTTTCCCTCCCGTATGAAACCCTAGCCTAGCTCTTGGCCAACCTCCAATCCGGGGGTTGGAAGGCTGGGCTAGAGGTAGGCTAAAGCCTACGCGTGAGAGAAGGGGCTGGGAACTTTCGGGGGGGGCGAACTTGAAGGGTTAACGTCGCGTTCGACAGGCTAACCCTAACCCTTCTTGTTACGAGGCGTTAAAGCCCAGGGACACCAGATTGCGGGCTGACCGTTGAAAAAAACCCTAAATCGAAACCGCCGCGAAAGTGCAGTGGAAGTGTTTGCCTGCCTGTCGAGCAGGGCCGGCATATGGCACGGCGAGTCGTACACTTTCCATTTAATGCATACGCATTTGTGACGGCAAGATTGGGTTTCTGGAAGAGGGTTCTAGAGGAGTACATACGTGTCGTAAGTGTTTAAAGGATGGAGCATACTAAATTGTTTTTTTTAATCTTGTGAATATAGCCTCAACTTGCAATTTTTTCCACTGTTTTAATATTGATTATGTATCGATGAAATAATGAATGTCTTGATTGAGCTGCTAATTAGTTCAAACGCTCGTAATAAACAATTTTCGTACATGCTGGATTTGTGCCCAATTCGTACATGCTATGACTCTGTATTTTCTTGTACACAATGATACAGACGTGTCGTTTTGTAAGGCGGACGGTGGGAGTTGTCAAGGTATGTGCGATACTGCACGATAAACAGTGGTGGAGCAGAATCTCTTCACCTCGCAAATACCCTTCCAGAGTGTGGTTTGGATAAGGCTGCTTCGTTCCTCGATTTGCATAAAAGCATCTCAGATTACCATCACCGAGGCCTCCATTTCTACCAGCTTGAGAGCAGGGCAAGGGTGCAGGAGCATCAGTGGCAGCAGCGGCTCCGTTTCCGTCTCCGTCTTCTGCTGGTGTCCGCGCGTCGCGTTAGCGGCTTCATCAAGAAAGCCGTCTCTAACGTGTTCGTCCTGTATCCTCCCCCATTTTCTTCCGGTGATTGACCAGCCACCGCTGTGCTGCCTAGTTCCATAGCTTTTTTAGCAAGACAGTGAACATCTCGGTATGATGAACTCGACGGCCTTATCCGCTTGTAGCAGCTCGAAATATCTGGATCGCAGTTTCGCGAGCACATTCAGCGATGCCGCCATTTTTCAACGTCGGTCAGCCGTTTCGCATTTTCGAATCTGTAGGAATTCGGCTAGAAAATGTAGACCGGCGAGCATTGTGTTTCAAAGCAGTACTCGATCCTCCCTCAGGGAACCATCAGAACTTTCGAGACCCGCAATTTCCGGCCAGCAATCACTCGTCACCGTCCGATCTGGAGCGAATGCACGAGCGTCACTCAACGGCATCCCTTCTGGGTCTCGTGGGAATGGCAGCGTAGAGAAGGATGTCAGGGCTTCTGCTGTTCGCGAAGAGGGCGAAACAGGCGGGGGTGATGACGGAAGCTCTAAAGGCAAGAATGTGTCTACGAAAAGCGATCGGGAACCTGAAAGTCAACGGGAGGCTGGCGAAGACGCAAACAAGCCCAGCTGGTTACCGGATTGGCTTGGTCTGACATCAGATGACGCCAAGACGGTTCTGATCGCATTTGGAATATCGCTGGTGTTCCGATGGTTCATCGCGGAACCACGGTTTATACCGTCACTGTCTATGTTTCCGACATTCGACATTGGTGACAGAATCATAGCGGAGAAGGTGAGCCATCTGTCGTTTAAGTCTTCGGAAAAGGTTGATACTGGAAGAAATTGAGAAGGCCTTACTGCTGAAATGTGAGAAACTCCTCGGATTTGCTAGTCCTGGAACATGTATGTGAATTTTATAGGAGAAGTATCCTGTCCCTGACAGGTCGAACAAAATCAGAACGGTATGTGCGGACTTGGACTAATCTTAATCTTTCCTGCCGTGCAGGTCTCCTACTATTTCCGGGAACCAGAGGTTGACGACATTGTAATTTTCAAGGCACCCAAGGTTCTTCAGGTATGCATTTTGTCTCACTAAATGTTTTTTTCCTTACAAGTCCGGATTATGGTGGTGATGGTTGTAAGGCTCACCATGCGAGCTTGCTACATGCAGGAACGAGGGTACAGTGCCGGCGAAGTATTTATCAAGCGAATCATAGCTACTGCTGGCGACGTTGTGGAGGTGAGTGCTGTCTCCTTGTATCCCCACCTGTCTTTCCTGCTTTCTCCGAAATTGCATGGCAAGTTGCATCTTTATGGGACATTTTCTCGTCTGTCTCTTCATGACTCATGCAGGTCAAAGCTGGGAAAACATATGTGAATGGTGTCCAGAGGAGTGATGAATTCACTTTCGAGCCACCTGCATATCATATGAAGCCGCAGGTACACACCCTTGTTGACGCCACTCTTGTTTTTGCGCATTCTGGTACCATCTTCACGATTCCAACCTGTTTTCCCAATTTCAGTAAACCCCAGCAGCATTTTCTCTTGCATAACCTGACACGCGCCGCTCACAAGAACCATCCCGGTACTCCCTCCCTTGCGCAGTATGTCCCACCAGGATACGTGTTTGTCATGGGAGACAATCGTAACAACAGCTACGACTCACACATCTGGTAGGCGGCATACTTGCGTCAGCTTTCAGGCTCTCTCCATGCCTGCATGCTACCATCATGGAACCACTTAACTTTTTGGTAATAGCTATTAGCTAACAGATTTCAACATTGGTTCTTTAACTCTTTGTTGTTTGTGAGCAGGGGCCCTCTACCAGTGGAGAATGTATTGGGCCGATCAATTTACAGATACTGGCCTCCTAACAGACTGGGGTCTACAGTTTTGGAAGAATCAGCTGAAGTCAGTGCAGGGGCTTCTGCGCCGCAATTGAAGTCCTCGTGAGACTAAAACCATGGTTTGTTTTTGCCTCAGATCAGACCCCTAGTTTTGAAAGAGGATCCGTGGGAAATGCAACGCTGTTTGTTTGCAGTACCACTGTAATGTGTGAACATTCCAGTGTGCTGACTGATTCAGAACAACATCATAGCAGATAAAGATCAGGTTACTGTAGGTAGGTGTGCAATGGCAAATTCTATCAAAGCAGGATCCAGCAGTAGGTACCTATTGATTCAGTTGCATGCCTCGGAAGTGTTCCACAAACAAGCTACAACGGTAACCAAACCCTATCAAACAACATAAATATATGTACCGCAACAACCCAGTCAGTTTGTTAAGCCTTCTGCTTCTGTACTCTCTTTTTGGCGAATTCCACAAACCGCTCTAGGTCGGCCTGAATGATGCTCTGCACCAATGGCGCTAGGCTCTGATGGGGAAGGAGAGGAGGGGAGGTGGGGGTGGGGGAAAGGGGGAGTGAAGAAGAAAGAGGAATGAGGGATCAGATTGCTCAAACTCCACAATCCACTCTACGCCCGCTTAAACGATGCTCTGCACCAATGAGGCTAGGCTCTGATGGGAAAGGGGAGGGTGTGGAGGGAGAACCAAGGGGCATGGGGAGAGAGAGGGAAAAAAGAGGACAGAGGTAACAGTTAAGAAGACTTAGGACAGAGGGAGGAAGTAAAACCAGGGAAGAAGGGACGAAAGCAGGGAGATCAAATGACGTCATGTGGGAAAGGAACGAGAAAAATGGGGTTGTGCAAGTAGTGCAAGGATAAGTCAGGAGGCCCATGTACGAAGACCATATAGATTTCAGAGGATATTTGGGTCGACTGCCTGGTGGGAGGAGATTTGGGATGACTGAAAGGTGAGGAGATTTGGGACGACTGAAAGGTGAGGAGATTTGGGACGACTGAAAGGTGAGGAGATTTGGGACGACTGAAAGGTGAGGAGATTTGGGACGACTGAAACGTGAGGATGACTGAAAGGTGAGGAGATTTGGGACGACTGAAAGGTGAGGAGATTTGGGACGACTGAAAGGTGAGAGGAGCTTACGTTTGCAACAGGGACGAGAATCCCAGGCACCTCATACGAGATAGTCATCTGGAGGTCGTTAGGCAAGGGGTAGAGTGTACAAATGGGTTATTTGAGAACTCCGTATCATTAGAGAATACACCAAAGAAGGGGTGCAAGGGGACGAAAATTTAGGCACCTTGTATGCAATGGTCACCTGGAAGAGGCGAGGCAATGGGTAGATTGAACAAATGTGCAGCGAGGTTGTTTTTGAGACGTCTCAAAAACAAGGCGAGGCAATGGATAGTTGAACAAACGTGCAGCGAGGTTGTTTTTGAGACGTCTCAAAAACAAGGCGAGGCAATGGGTAGATTGAACAAATGTGCAGCGAGGTTGTTTTTGAGACGTCTCAAAAACAAGGCGAGGCAATGGGTAGATTGAACAAACGTGCAGCGAGGTTGTTTTTGAGACGTCTCAAAAACAAGGCGAGGCAATGGGTAGATTGAACAAACGTGCAGCGAGGTTGTTTTTGAGACGTCTCAAAAACAAGGCGAGGCAATGGGTAGATTGAACAAACGTGCAGCGAGGTTGTTTTTGAGGCGTCTCAAAAACAAGGCGAGGCAATGGGTAGATTGAACAAACGTGCAGCGAGGTTGTTTTTGAGACGTCTCAAAAACAAGGCGAGGCAATGGGTAGATTGAACAAACGGGTGATTTAAAAACTGTTATGACCGTTGGGGAAGAAGCGAGCAGCACCATTGTTGGGAAGACTGCTAGGAATTCTCAGACATTATTTCAATGATAACACCACAACAAACCACAGCACATTCACACCACACCACACTGCACCGCACCTCACCGCAGTACTTCCAGCTTGGATTCATTGGGCCCACTGGGGAAGAAGTGGACGACCCCACTGTTGGGGAGCCTGCTAGAAATTCTAAGACGTGATCTCAAAGATACCACCACACCACAGCACACCAACCACTAGATTTCTCAAAGGCGACTTGGATAATACCACGCCACACCGCATAATACCACACCGCACCGCAGTACCTCCAGCTTGCAGCCGTTAGGTCCACTGGGGAAGAAACGGACGGCCCCTCTATTGGGGAGACCGTCTAGGGATCGCCAGTGGATCTTCTGATGGTGTATGGGCTGGTGGGGTGGGAGGGAGGGGTGAAGCATAGAGAGAGAGGATGCGGTTGTTAGGGGGGCCAGTTAATACACTGCTGGCGCCACTGTTCGGAAGCCCATCTAGGGATCGCCAGTGGATCTTCTGATGGTGTATGGGCTGGTGGGGTGTGGGTGAGAGAGGGAGAGAGGGGGAGAGGGGGACGAGGGAGAGGGGGTTTATATAAATCACGTACTGCTGTTGGGGAGACCATGTAGGGATCTCCTGTGGAACTTCTGATGGTGTATGGGCTGGTGGGGTGGGGGGAATGGAGGGAAAGAGAGGGATGACTGGGAGGGGGAACGCAGCAACAAAATGGACGGCCCCTCTATTGGGGAGACCGTCTAGGGATCGTCAGTGGATCTTCCGATGGTGTATGGGCTGAAATGAGGAAGTGAGGGAGGAGGAGAGCGGGAGGAGGGAGAGGGGGTTGATATAAAGCAGGTACTGCTGTTGGGGAGGCCATCTAGGGATCTCCAGTGGATCTTCTGATGGTGTATGGGCTGGTGGGGTGCGGGTGAGAGAGGGAGAGAGGGAGAGAGGGAGAGAGGGGGTTAATGTAAATCAGGTACTGCTGTTCGGAAGACCATCTAGGGATCTCCAGTGGATCTTCTGATGGTGTATGGGCTGGTGAGGGTGGAAGGGTGAGATGCAAAGGGGGAAGCATAGAAAGAGAGGATAAGGTCTGCTGTTGCTGGCTCTGCTGTTGGGGAGACCATCCAAGGATCTTCTGATGCTGTATGGGCTGGTGAGGTTTGGGTGAGAGGGGGAGAGAGGGGGAGGAGGAAGAGGGGGTTTGTGTAAAATAAGGTACTGCTGTTGAGGAGACCATCTAGGGATCTCCAGTGGATTTTCTGATGGTGTATGGAAAGAGAGAGATGACTGGGAGGGGGACCGCAGCAAAAAAGCGGACGGCCCTACTGTTGGGGAGACCATCTAGGGATCGGCAGTGGATCTTCTGATGGTTTATGGGCTGGTGGGGTGGGGAGGGGCAGGTAAAAAACGGGGGATAAATAAAGGGAGGAGGGGTGACCAGTTGGTATACTGCTGATCCCACTGTTGGGGAGACCATCTACGAATTGCCGGTGAATTTTCTGATGGTGAACGAGTTAGTGCGGGTGTGGGTGAGAGGGAATAAGGAGAGGAAGAAAGGGCAGTAATATACTGCGAACACTGCTGTAGGAGAGTAATTGCACTAATTCCCCTCTTCCCCCGACCCCCCTTCCCCTTCAAAGCCCCCTCCTCCCCTTTCCCCTGCCCCTTCCCCCGTCTTCCCTCCCCCCCTCCCCCTCACATCCCACCCGCAAGGCCCTCCCCAGCCAGCCTCCCCTGCAAGTTCCTGGAAAACTCGAGGTTCTGCCCAAAGGCATGGTAAGAATTCTCAAAAACTCGAGGTTCTGCCCAAAGGCATGGTAAGAATTCTCAAAAACTCGAGGTTCTGCCCAAAGGCATGGTAAGAATTCTCAAAAACTCGAGGTTCTGCCCAAAGGCATGGTAAGAATTCTCAAAAACTCGAGGTTCTGCCCAAAGGCATGGTAAGAATTCTCAAAAACTCGAGGTTCTGCCCAAAGGCATGGTAAGAATTCTCAAAAACTCGAGGTTCTGCCCAAAGGCATGGTAAGAATTCTCAAAAACTCGAGGTTCTGCCCAAAGGCATGGTAAGAATCAATAGTCACCCCTTACTTCCCCCCCCCTTACTCCCAATCCGTACAGCACATATCTGCCCGCTCTCATTCTCACCTGCAGGTTCTTAGCGAGCCAGGAGAACTCGAGGTTCTGCCCAAACGCGGTGTAACGGAGGGTCCACGTGGAGAGCTCAGGTTTGTCGTCACGCACCTGGGGGGATGGTGAGGGGAAAGGGAGTGGGGGAGTGGGGGAGTGGGGGAGTGGGAGGGGACCATTCAAGAGACCGCGAATGCGCTGTAACGGAGGGTCCACGTGGAGAGCTCTGGCTTGTCGTCCCGCACCTGGGGGTGGGGGAAGGCGGGAAGAGGGGGGGAGGGTTTGGGAAGCAGGAAAGGGGAGGTGGGGGAAGAAAATGGGGGTTCAGAGGAGAGTCCCCCGTTTTCCTCTGCGGCACAGGAATGCGTTGAAGCAAAGGGTCCACGTGGACAGCTCTGGTTTGTCGTCACGCACCTGCGGGGTGCGGGAAAGTGGGAGGAGGGGAAGTGGGGTCAGGGGGAGGGGGGTGGGAGAGGGACAAGGAGACGAAAAAGGAGGGGGAGGGGGAGGGCGGGAGTGGTATGGATGGGGAAGTGGAGGGAGAGTGGGTGGGAGAAGCTAAGCGGAATTAGGGATGCACGGAAGCTATGCCTGGCATACAGGGATGGAGTAGTAAGAAGCACAGGTCAGCTTATAACAGGGACAAAAACCACTCACTTTTACCGAAGCGATCCAAGTCATCCAGGAAGGAATAGGCTCTCGGTCCATCCACAGGTCAGCTTAAAGCGGGGATAGGAATTACTTACTTTCACTGAAGCAATCCAGGGCATCCAGGAAGGGATGAGCTCTCGGTCCAACCACAAGTCGAAGGCCAATGGGAGCGGGACAGATGGCGCATCCACCACGGCCCTGCCACGTCAGCGCATGAAATGACGTGGCAGGACAGGACCGGACAGGTGAGGTGAACGGATGGCATGATACAGACTGATGAAACCAAAGGTGCGACTGCAGCAGCAACACGCATCTTAACTCAATACAGAGTGAACAAGGAGTCAATACAAGCGCATCTGCACTCACACCAGCAGGTAGGTACGTAAGCATTTCACTTAGTGAGCACTTACCACAAGCGCACACTTACGCACTCACTTGTTTTCAAGCCACGTGGCCGAAACCAGCAGACCACGACGTTGAGAAGGCCTCCCAACACGTGGCACAGAGCTGTTGGTTAACGATCCTTGTTCAGCAATCCTGATTCTAGCTCCTGAAAATCCGGAGCCGAGGGACAATGGGCGGGAAGGACGAGCCGCGGCTGCGAGGACTGGCCCGGACGTACGTGCGCGAGAAAGAGGATGGCTGACACGTGGCACGTGGCCATAGGCGGAGTATTTAGGTGATTGAAACCCGGTAGCGGTTGATGCGGCGGCTGACGTGGCAATCGCAGAGCTTGCAGCGGCCATATCGACAAATTGGCGCGGGCCGGGATCAACGATTGAAGAAAATTTCCGAATTTGGTAAATCCAGTATAGCACCTCCTTTGGGCGTTACGGACTGTTCTGCCGGCACGAGGCGCTGACGCCAACTAGCCGCCGTGAAAACAGACCGTTACCGCAAATCAAGGCCAGTCGCGCGTCGTGTGGCTCGACGCGACAATCTCGAGGGAGAGGAATCTAGATTATGTAAATTACGAAAGAGAGCGAAATATATGCGTAAAAGGTGACTGACTGGTCAGCAAAAATGTCCACTGATAACCTTGGGAATTTCGTGGAAGTCTGAATGGGTTGTTGTGACTGGAGGAATCCAGGCTGTGCGTCTTCTCTATACCGAGGAAGATGAATGAGATGCAACTGCAGCTAGCCAACTGCAGCTCGACACGCGTTGCAGAGCAATTGAGACTCGATTGTGAAACGTCACGACACCATTTCGCCACGACAGCATCACAGGTGCCCAGTGTAGAATGCGAACATCCGTTTGTTGCAAAATTTTATTGAAACTGTCTGTAAGGAATTTCTCCGATATTCCTTAGCGCGCCCTGCAACATCGCGTACAGCAGCAGCCGTTGTTCGCCCGTTACTGCTAACGGGGCTTCGCCGACTTCGCGCGCACTGTTTTCCCAAACCTCGCACTGCTGGACCGGCCGTGTCGGCCTACGCTTCGGGACTAGCCCGAGCCTCGCTTCCAGCGTAGCACTAGCTAGCTCGCACGCACCGCGTTACCGTTTGCATGCTTCGCGTATAAATGTTCGCCCAGGCCTTTGCTCACATTTTGTACTCGTTTGACACCTTAGTGCAACTCTCGCTACTTCGATTCATTGCACCCGTAACACTTGGTATTCAGAGCCTCTTTCTTTTCGGACCGCGCATCTCCGCACCCCAGGAAATCAACTTTTGATTTTTCACTCGAAGGGACTCACGCACCTTAGCCCCTAGGAGCCGCTGTCCTCGCGTTCTCACGTAAACGCGTGCAGCCACAACTGCGCCTAGACTAAGCCGAGCCGACGTCCCTCGTAATGGCTGAGCATATCGATGTCGCGACTCTCACGCAGGAGCACTTGAACGAACTGCTGCGGCAAATCCGCGAAAGCTCTGAAGAAATCGCGGCGCTGACGGCAGAACGCACGTCCCTGCAAAACGACCTCGCACGAGCACAATCCCAAGCACCCGACACTCCGATTCAGCCCGCACCACAAACATCGCAACGCGGAAGTGTGGGGCAACCCGCGAGCGCCGCAAGTGATGGCGTCGTCCGCCATGACGGAGACGACGACCACGGCACGACACACCCCGACGCGACGAATGTGGCCAGGAATCAGCCTCGAGTCACCATTTCGGTGCCACCCGGCGAATCAGCCTTACCGTCGCCGATGTCGCTGAAGCCGCAGCGTCCGCCATGCTTTGACCCAAGTCAGCGGGGTGGTCCTACCGTTCAGGCGTGGCTCTTCACATTGAACGTTTTCTTCGACGCGAACTACGTCTCGGAGGATACGGCGAAGATCCGATACGCCGTGTCGTTGCTGCGAGGACCCGCCATGGACTGGTGGCGTGTCATCGTCACGAAGCCGGTGGACTACGCGACTCTACCGACACGGGAAGGACAAACCGGACCCTGGGCGCCGTCGTATTTCGTGGAGGTGCCCCAGTATCGCACGTGGGACGCGTGGTGCGCAGGTCTGCGCGCTCGTTTCGAGCCAATTGCGGCTTCGATCGCGGCGCGACAGAGGCTCCGCACTTGGCGCCAACTCGGTTCCGTCCAAGACTGAGAAAAGTAGAAAGCGAATGAATGAACTATGAATGAAGTGAGTACATATAGGAAACCCTAATTGGGTTGTACCCCCTATGGGATACCCCACTATAGCCTACACAACAGCATAAGCTATATGTATGTTCTGACACACCCCCATAGGCAAAGTGGGGGAGAACAAGGGGTCACAAGACCAGTCACACAAAGCACAGCAAGCTCAGGGTGGATCACAAAGTCACCACACAGTCCGAGCACAACGACAAGGCCACAAGGCCAGTTCACATGCAGGAGTGCACACATATATATAGAGCTAGACAAGCAAGAGCAGGTATATATATGTGACAGTACAAGCAAGGTCAAGAGGAGAGCAAGTGAGGCAAGACAGGTACAAGACCCAGCTGAGTGCAGAAGCGCTGATGGTCACAAGGCGCAAGTGCCTTGGTGAACACATCAGCAGTGTTGGCCTGAGAGGCCACGTACGCAAGTCGCAACTGACCACGCTGCTGCAGCTCACGAGCAAGAAAGTAACGGAGAGCAATGTGCTTCGTTCTGTGCTCCAAGCGCTGCTCTCGACACAAGGCCAGCATGGCCTTGTTGTCTACGTACAGCACTGGAGGAGAACGAGGCGGCTCTCCAAGGTCAGTCAGCAGGTAGGTGAGCCAGCGAAGCTCCTGTGCAGCCATGGCCCCGGCGTAGATCTCAGCCTCACAACTGGAGCCGAGAACAGAGGACGAGCGTGTAGCCCGCCACGAGACAGAGCCGGAACCAAGACTGAAGGTGTAACCCTGCGACGACCGCTGCGTAGCCTGGTCGTCAGCCCAAGAAGCGTCCGCGTGCCCAGTGAGGACCACTGGACTCCGCCCTCCAAGCACTAGCCCCATGCCCGACGTACTGCACAAGTAGCGCAACACCCTCTTCGCTGCAGCCATGTGCTCTGGTCGGTGTCTCCCAGGAGCAACATAGCGTGCAAGAATGCTAAGAGGGTATGCAAGGTCAGGTCGTGTGCAGGTCATCAGGTACATGAGGCAACCAACAAGCTCTGGGTACGGGCCACTCGACTCTACGGACTCATCCGAAGGCAGAGCTGAGAGCGAGTGGCGAGTAGACAGAGGAGTGGCCTGAGGCGAGGAGTACGTGAAGCCGAAGCGCTGAAGGACCTGCTGCACCATGTGTGACTGAGTCAAGGTAATGGTGCGGCGTGCTCTGTCCCGAGTGATCTGCAAGCCAAGGTAGCTGCGCAGTTCACCCAGGTCTGTGCACGTGTGTCTCTTCTGCAGCTCGGACTTCACGTAGGCTAGTCCAGCAGTGTCAGCTGTGGCAAAGACCAAGTCGTCGACGTACACGAGGATGTAGAACGGCGGCAAAGAAGTGTCGGTGCGCAGAAACAACGACGGGTCAGCAGTAGAGGGAGCAAACCCAAGAGCCGCAAGCGTAGTCCTCAGTGTGTCGTGCCACTCACGCGGTGCCTGGCGGAGACCGTAGACTGGCCGTCGGAGGCTCCACTGGGTGCCAGGAGGGAAAGTCCCAGTGAAGCCAGGTGGACGGCGCAGCCAGATCTCCTCGTGCAGGCTACCCTGCAAGAAAGCAGTGCTGAAGTCAAGAGAGTGGAGCTCGTAGTCGCGCTGAGCGGCTATGTGCAGTAGCACCCGAAGAGTGGTCATCTTCGGGGTGGGAGAGAAGGTCTGAAAGTAGTCAACTCCCTGCCGCTGACTGAAGCCACGAGCGACGTACCGCGCCTTGAAGACAGGTGGAGAGCCCGGCGGCCGCTTCACCCTGAAGATCCACATGCCACTGACGATGTTCGCCCCAGGAGGGGGAACCGCGTCAACGTAGGTGCCTGTGGACTTCCAGGACGCCATCTCTGCATCCATAGCTGCCTGCCACTGAGAGGAGTAGGGACCCTCTACGGCCTCCGCGTAAGAGCGCGGAGTCGGGATGTCTAGTGCATCCGGGTCTCCCTCAGGGGCAAGTAGCACACTCACCCCCGACGGACGGAGGACAGACAGACGCAGACTCAGCAACAAGACCGGCAGCGTAGTCTAGACGACAGCGAGCAGCAAAGTCGACGAGCTCAGAAACAAGCGCAGACGCAGCAGTGGACTCAAAAGAGGGGTCAGTGACGACAGTAGCAAGGAGACGTGTGGCAGTAGGACTAGCAGCACGAAGAGAGTCGGACTCTGGGTCGGTAAGTGCAGGAAGGGAGGACTCAGGAGGAGAAGGCAAAGGGGCACGCAGAGGAGCAGTGGACGGACGCAAAGACATCCGGTGCGTGCCAGGGACAGGAGGAGGACGCTGACGCGAACCGCGACCACTAGCGCGAGCAGCACGAACAGGCGACGCAGGACGAGACGCAGGCTCACGACGCTCAGCAAGACCTCCAGTGGGACCAGTGTAAGGAGAGGGAGCAGGAAGTGGGGAGGCGGGCTCTAACTGGGACTGTGACTGAACAGGCGGTGGACACGCTGCAGGAGGAGAAAGACCAAGAACCTGCTGTAGGAGGGGAACGAAGTACGGCCGAGGCCGCGCGGCGACTCCAGACACAGCAGGGACAGCACCCTCAGCAGCAGCACCAGCGCCAACCGCACCTCCAACGGGAGGACCTCCAGCAGCACCAGCAGCACCCGCAGCAGGGCCACCGCCAGGAAGGACAGCAGCAGTCTCAGCACCAACACCCGCAGCAGCTCCAGCTCCAGGCGGACCCGAGGGCCCAGCAGCTCCGGGACCAGCGGCACAAGTACCCTCAGCAGCCGAAGGAGCTCCAGCTCCAGCAGTACGTCTCCAGCGGCGAGCAAACCACTCGCGCAGCTCCTGTGGAGAGAGGGGCTCCCGCCGAGGCGAAGCACCCGGAGAACCGCCAGGTCCCGCACCGCCAGACGCCACAAGGGGAGGTCCAGTGGCCGCAGGCTCCGCAGCTCCAGGCTCAGCAGCTCCAGACGCAGCACCCCCTGGCTCAGCACCCCCAGACTCCGCACCCCCAGGCGCAGCACCCCCAGTCGCAGTACCCCCAGGCTCAGCACCCCCAGACTCAGCACCCCCAGACTCAGCACCCCCAGGCTCAGCACCCCCAGGCTCAGCACCCACGCGCGTAGCACCCCCAGAGTCAGCACCCCCAGGCTCAGCACTCGCAGCAGGACCAGAGTCACCAGCAACCTCGACCGGCTCGACCGCGTCTACCTGGGACACACCTGAAGGGGCAGGACCCTGAGGGGGAAGGGGGTCT